ATGTCACATTTCCCGAGAAATATCGAATGTAGCTAGAACGTCAAGACTGGATCTCCGGTGCCAGCGTTCTTAACAGAGTAACACGCCAGCCACCTCCTTAGAGAAAGGCACCTGATTTGTTGACTTGCTCTTTCTGTTTATGGCTCCCGGAGTCTTCAGGATGAATTTGTCTTCCTCAGTTTCTCCAGTGCTTAAATGGATTAGCAAGCAATCTGGGGGTGTCAGGTCTTATCAGTTTCTCTCATGTTTTCTGTTGGGGAGGGAGAGCTGCCTCTTTTCTCTGCAGGAAGTGGTGTATTCTGGGAGACATCTTTAATTCCATGTCTCTGCTATTTCTCAGGCGAACCCCTTCTCCTGGACTACCTTAATCTCCTCCTCCCTCCAAACTCCGCCCAAGGAAAGTTTCCATTTGCCTCAAAGCCCTGCAAAGCTGCTACTTTATCTTCCTTCACCCGACCCTTCAAATAAAATTTCTGTAGGCTCCTTATCTATGCAGCACTTTATCCGTGCTGCTTAGTGGTTAAAAGCATGGGTTTTAGAATCAGACGTATTTTATCCCTGCCTTGTACTAGCTGTGTGACCTTGGGCAAATTACTCTCTGAACCCCAGAGTCCTTCTCTATAAAAGAGAACTAATAACTATTAAATGATTATGCCTGGAAGGAGCTCAACAGATGGCCCAGCAGAGGTGGCGTTCAATACATGTTCCTTGTTACCCTGATGTTGACCTTCCTTCCATGAGGAAGAGTCACTTGTCCTCCTGCTGTACTGTGAAAGCATCCCTCACACGTCTGTGTGTCCCCTCAAAACCCCGGCACACAGTAGGGGCCCAGGAATTGTTGGAATCAAATTCTTTAACAAGGCATTTTAAAAGAAATCCATACCTGTCACCCCTCATGCTTTTGTGGTGGAATATCTCCAAGGATAAACTGTGTGATGTTCATTGCTGGCCCACGGGCTCGACCTTGTGGGAGCTGGTGTGGTGCAAAGGACTGGAGGAGGGCTTCGAAGCCAGCTGGTTCGATTGTGAATCCTGACTCTGCTCACAGCCGTATGACCCAGAGATCGTGGAGACTCAGAGATAGTCGTGAGACTCAGAGATAGTGGAGCTACTCGCCCGTTGAAGAGCCATTGGATGAGGTTGTGAAGGGTTCACGGTCTCGGTGACTGCCGATCGCATTACTGCTACTGCTAGGGCTCCTGTTACAGCCACGTGTCACTTAACAACGGGCGTACGTTCTGAGAAATGCGTTGCTAGGCAACTTCGTCGTTGTGCGAACCTCACAGAGCACACTTACACAAATCCAGGTGGGACAGCCTACCGCACACCTAGGCTGTATGGTCCAGCCTGTTGCTCCTGGCTACAAGCCTGTACAGCGTGTCACTGTATTTAATGCTGTAGGCAACTGTCACGTAACGGTATTTGTATATCTAAACATCAAATATGGAAAAGGTAGAGTAAAAATATGGTATGAAAGATATAAACGGCACACCTGTACAGGGCACTCACCGTGAATGGAGCTGGCAGACTGGAAGCTGCTCTGGGGGAGTCGTGAGTGAGGGTGAGCGGGTGTGAAGGCCTGAGACGTCGCCGTACGCCCCTGAAGATGTATAAACGCTGTCCCCCGTCTTCTGACAGAGTCAGGAATAGAACATCAACGCCGTCAATGCTGCTCCATGAACAGGGATGTGGGCTGGACTGATCGGAAATATCGAGGAGAAACTGGGTGGGTGAGGCACAGATCACCTCAATAGTAAGTGTCGGGAGGGAGTAAAGGTGGCCCGAGGATCAGTAGGAATTAGAAATGGAGATGGAGATAAAGAGGAACGTGGGGGGTTGTCATGGCAACGTGGGTTTGGCCACTGCATGTGGATTGATTAAGGAACTTTTGTGGGTTTATTGTGAAAAAAAAAAAAGGCTGTTTAACACAGAGAGGGTGCAGAAGCGAGGACTCAATATTCTGACTTTGGAAATTCGTTTCCGGTCCCACTGACCCCATCTGGCACAGAGGACTCTCTCTGGCATGTCTATGTTTTACACCATTACGACCTGAAAATATTTTCAAAGTTCAGGGACAGGCCGGCTTCGCACTGCCACCAAAAGCCTTTACTAAAGTGACAGTGGCACTTTAATACTTGTTGAGGTCGCTCCTGTGGACCTGTGTCTCTGTACAGGATCTTAGGTCCTCAGCAACGAATTTACAGCACTGTATTCTGAAGACCACACCAGGCCGGACCAGGGAGGGCTGCAGCACCCTCTGAATACGTAGCGCTGGGGGACAGGCTCCTCTGTGCTGAAACAGGTCGGTGGTGACTGACCGGGGTGGCACCTGTGCACTCAAAACTGAGGCGCTGTGAGTGGAGGGACTCTGTTGCCAAGCTCATAGATGCTGCTCCTGTCAGGAGGAAAATATTCCTCTTGAACCACACATTCTTCCATTTCTTACAAGAAATCCAGCTCCATTATAATCTGATGGGACCACCATCGTAGGTGGTCTGTCACTGACCAAAACGTTGTGTGGTGTGTGACTGTCCTGTTCCTACTATATTCAATCACTACTCTGCCTTGCAGGCTACTGAACATCCTTTTCCTTCCTCCCATCAGCCCTCTCTGGCTCAGCCCTCTTCACCTCTCTTCTGCCTCTATGACTCATTCGCACAGTGCTCTGTATTTTTCCTGAGTGCACAATCTACAAGAACCTGTTCTGATAGAACAGGAACCCGACGCCTTTTGACCTTGGCTCTTGGGGAAGTGGCCTGAAACTCCCTGGCGGGACACCAGCAGCAGCTCAGAGCCTTTCTTCCTGGCCCCGCCCCCTCCCCACTGCATGGGACTGGCTCTCCATGACAAAAGTGATTGTGAGCTGAAACTTGGCCGATGGGGCCCCACTGAATCCTTCCTTTGTGATGGGAATGTGGCGTGGCCGGGTTCCCTGTGAAAGGAGCCCGGGATCCCTTTCCCAGTTAGGCAGCTTGGCAGGGAAAGCTTGGGGCATGGGGAGAATGGTCAAGGAGCCGCTTTGTCGTGGGGGCTGGACACCTCTGACTGCTGAGATCTCCTCCCACTTAAGCCGGCTGGGCTGGACGCTTCTGGAACTGTGCCTTCTAGGGCCACAGGACAGAGCTCAAAGGCCGTGCAAGAGTCTAGATCAGACCCCTGGTTTCCAAACTCTGTTCTATAAGATTTCTGGGATTCAATGGGAGGGAGCCAAGGGAAGGCTTGACCGTCAACATTTTGAGACCCTTTGCTCTGTTCAGCCACAGCGGTGCTGCTTTCTGTTCGATTTTATTTAAATCATTGTCTTTATATTAGAAATACCAATCCAAGTGTGGATGACCCACTCAGTTCTCAGCCAGGTGGAGCACTCTGATGCCCAGGGCTGTGACCAACTTCCCCGGAGCATAGCCCCTCCCCTGTCCCAAAGATGTGTGTGGGAGCAAAGAGAGAGCTGCCCAGGTCGGAGGAGCGAGCTCGGGGCCCTCACCCTCCTGCCGACTTCTACCTGGGAAGATGGGGAAAGGGCTGAAACCTCAAACCCCACCAGGGAATAATGATAGAGGCACCTTCCAAGGTCAGAATGGAAATCGCATTTAATCTGGGCCCCTTGCCCATGTTGCTGGCAAATCATTTGCCTACAGATATAAGATTTCAGTATACAGGTACTCCTGAAAGTTAGTTCTACCTAATCCTCTCTCCCTCGGTGCCAACCATGAAACCAAGAATTTCCCCTAATTGATATGGGACATTAGTTAAACTTTTTAACTTGCCAGATAGTCATTCATTCATTCTGCAAATAGTTATTAGGTACCTGTTACATTCCTGGAAATTCCTATTACAAAATATTTCAGCCAGTCCAAAGAATATATGTAAGAGATGTGAAGTTTAAGGGATAATATAATAAATAAACGGCCATGTGCCCTTCACTGTCCTCCCCAACACCATTTCTCCTCCAGGGAAGTGACTATTATCCTGAATTTTAGTGTATAATCTGTGTATTTCTTCCCAATATTACAAAAATAGACCAATACATTGTTCGGTTCTGCGTGGTTTTGAACTTTGTATAAACGGAAACTTGCCACGTGTGTTCTTCTGCGATTTGCTTTTCTGTTCAAGGTCACGTGTGTTAGAATAGTCCACACTGGTGTGGATAACTGCGGTTTATTCATTTTCACTGCTGCATAGTACTCTGCTGGGTAACACTGTTATGGCTTTTCCTTTCTCTTGGAACGTGACATTATTTGATTTTCTAATGGTGAACTGACCCTACAATGCTGGGGTAAGCCAAACTTCATTGTGATGTATTATCTTTAAAAAAAAACAAAAAACAAAAAACAAAAAACATTGTTAGATTCTATTTGCTGATATTTCATTTAGGATTTTTGTGTCTGTACTTGTGGATCAGATTGCTCTGTTATTTTTCTTCCTCACCTCGTTTTGTTGTTTTGTTTTGTTTTGTTTTGTTTTTTGGTTTTGGCATCAATGTTATACACGCCTCATAAAATGACCTGAGGGAGTGTCTTCTCTTATCCCCTGGGGCACTTGTGTAAGATGGATAAAACCATGGAAAGGTTTGGTAAATGTAGCCACCATATTGTCAGCCTTCTGCAACCCCAATTTTTCTTCCTCACCTCGTTTTGTTGTTTTGTTTTGTTTTGTTTTGTTTTTTGGTTTTGGCATCAATGTTATACACGCCTCATAAAATGACCTGAGGGAGTGTTTTCTCTTATCCCCTGGGGCACTTGTGTAAGATGGATAAAACCATGGAAAGGTTTGGTAAATGTAGCCACCATATTGTCACCCTTCTGCCACCCCCCTTTTTTGGTACAGAATCTTTTTTTTTTTTTTTGGCTTCTTTTGATACAAGCTTCCTTGCATGTACTCCTACTCCAACCCATGCTGTACCCCCAGAAAAACAAACAAAACTCACACCTCCCCCATGAGCACCTCAAATCAGAATGGTCACAGCTTGCTTAGAAAATTGTGTTTCTGGTTTTTTACAGATGAGTCCGTAACTCAAGATTTTAGCATGAAGAGTCATTCTCCAGCCTTCCTTGAGCCCCCCAGGTAACAACAGGTAGGTGCCTCTCTTCTCTGGTTAACAATTTTTCTTGAAAACCCAGGCACAGGCTCACTCACTTCTCTCTTAGGGCTGCCTTGAACATGAGCCATGATGGGTCCAACTCCGGGTCCAGAGGTGACTCTGGCTGAGCTGGGACCTCAGGCTGCCCACTAAGGCGGCTCTGCTTTGGGAACATGTTGGAAGTTATGCGGTCCAAATCCTCTAAGCACAAAATTAGCTTCTTTCCATATTTTTCAAAGGGAAAGAACGCCGTACTAAATATAACTGAGTCAACAAGCCAGAAACAAGATAAATAGCCCCCAGCTGCACCTAGGGAGGTGGGTTTTCACATCCCCTAAGGAACCCATTGAGGTCTGGTCTCCAGAGGGGAGGGTGGAACTGACGAACAATTTTAAGCTACCACTGGACACATAACCCTGCTGTGAACTCCCCCCAAAAACGACGACCTTGATCTCATTTTCTCTTTCTAAAAGCAGCACATGCGCACTTCTGTTTCTCAATTCTTATTCTCCCAGTAAGAAAAAGAAAGGAAAAATCATTCTAATAACATCACACAGAGAAAATAACCGAAAACATCATGCTACGTATGATCCGAGTGTTTCGAAATTTAGTATAATACATAAATTAGTGTTTCTCAACCTCTTTTTCCCATTATCACCCCCTAAGGAGTCTTTCTTTATAGACACTCTTTTTGTAATGCTCGCCCACTCCCACCCACGAAATTTTAATATTGTATGTCCGTTTATGGACTGTGGAGGGCCACAAACCACTGGGATATTTGAAATTGTTACACCATCCCCAAGAACCAAGTTTTTCCCTTGTGGGTGATGTCACCCCATTGAGAATGCAGGCTTTAAATAATATTTAATAACAGACCTTTCTGGAAGAACTTACTGCGTGTTGGTCACATACTGTTCTGGGTACTTTACGTGTGTTTACTTATCATATCTCCCCTACGAAGTGAGTACTGGAGAGCTTTAATCTCCATTCTACCACTGCAGAAACTCAGGCCCGGAGAGGTAAAGTAACTTGTCCAAGGTCGCACAGATAGGAAGGTACAGAGTGAGGTTCCGAGCCCAGGCAGCGTGGCTCCAGAGTTCATGCTTAACTACCAAGCTATGTTGCCTTGCAAAAATACATTCCGATTGTGAAAAATTCAAAATACAGAAATAGAATAAATGGTACACTTCCCAAGCACCCTCCGTCCCGTCGTCTGGGACTTTTACACATATGTTTGTATATATTAAAACATACTGTCTTTTTATCATAAGTAGGATCATCTAGTCTTTTTTTCTATATATACATATATGCATATTTGTGTATAGAATTTTCTTAAATTAGCATCATGCTGGATGTACTGTTTATTTTTTTAACCTTGTTGTTTGACTTTAAAATGTATCATTGGCTGCTTTGAGACAATAATTTAATAAGTGCATGGACCATATTTTATTTAACCAGATCCAGATCATTGCTATTTAAGTCGTTTCTAGTTTCTCACCATCATAAAGCTATGATGAATATCCTTACATAATTCTTAGAAGTTGGAACTACAGAGCCAAAAGATATAAAGATTTTTTAAACGTTTGACCCAAAATTCCAAAACTTGCCATCCAGAAATATTGTATGAAATTGCCCATCCCCACACTGACCTGCACTGGGTATTTTCACCTGTTTTCAGTCATTGACAAATTAACAGACCAAAAATGTATGGATCCTGACATTTTCATCTCTGCCTGTGACCCTCATCTGGGACCTGTTTTATTCACTGACAGGGTAAAGCGAAACTTGAATTGAAAATTAATGGGGTGGAGGGTGTTAAAGTGGCCCAAATCACTGGTTTAATAAACACACCATCACCCTCCCAAGTACGAGGCCTACCTGTTGGGCCCTTAGGTGCTCAGTACGTGGCTTTTTCATCTCCTGCTTCCGGCACAAGCCTCTGGCCACATCTCTCCACCCCTGAGCTCTTCACCTCTGGCTTGTCTCAGATCTGTCTGGCAGAACCGCTGCATTTCTAGGGCTGCCGAGCCCCTTGTCCCTCCATTCACTGCCATGAATGATAATGTGAGAAACAAATGCCCTCGAGCTTACAGTGACTGTTCCCTCTGGTCCCACTGCAACTGTCTGCAGCAGAATCCCTGTGCTCTGCATGCCACACGCATGCATGCTCATGTATGCACATGTGCACATGCATGCATACACATACATGTCCATACACCTGTACACATGCAAACCTATGCACATATGTGCACACAGTGCATATACAGGCACACACACGATGCAGAGTATTCAGGTGTAGGCCCTATTATGCCAGTGGGGCTTCTCTTTCTCAGAGACTTTCCGTACGCCCTCTAACCCAAGGTAGGGTACCGGCTATTTAATTGCACAGTTCCTATACTTTCTTCCCACTTTACTGTTATTTTTTGGAGACTGGTTTTCTGCTGTCCTGGAAGCCCCACTAACCCTTAACTTGCTCGCCAGTGTTTCTCTAAGTGCCTATAACACCGCTTAGCAGATGTACAAGAATTAGGTTGAGGGATAAAAAGGAACTGACTTCAAGCTGATAAAGGATGTTATCCCAAATATTTTTAGAATATTTTTCATTGGATTTCAAGCAGCTGCTGTTAGCCGTCCTTTTGAAAAGATGGGAAAGAATGCAGAATTTAAAAAAAGGATTTGGCTCATTTAAACGTCTGTAAACTTTTGCTGTTCTGCAAAGGCCACTGTTGAGGGAATACTATATTGAGGAGTGGTCAGCAAAGAGCATTGCTTGCTTGTCCTCTTGGCCCCTGGAAGTGTTCTAGGCTACACCTTTCAGGCGGCTTGCTCATCTCTCTCACGCCACCAGCGGCCAACAGATGGTTACAGAATCCCAGGATGGCTGGCTGCTCCCTTTAGCACGAGGTCTCTGAACTGCTTCATGGAAGAGAGTTTATCACCCAGTGGGCACAGCAGCAAAGATGAGGACTTTGCAGGCTGGCTTCATGTGGCCTCTATTCATTTCATTCAATTGATGCAGCAGATGCATTTGAATCCCTGCCACATTCCAGGCACAGAGGCGAGGAAGATGTTGGTCGCGGGAAGAGAGACACACTTGCCACAGTAGTTGCTGGGGGCTTGTGGGAGCGCAGAGAAGAGCAGCTGAGCTGGGGTGATCAGAGAAGTGCAGAAATGCTGGAGGGGGTGTGCAAAGAAGGGTGAGGTGAGATGTGGGAGGGGCAGGACCAGGTCAGCTCAGCCCTGACCCTCATTCTAAAGAGACTGGATCTTCAGCTGCAGGGAACGGGGAGCCATTGAGGGTGGTGAAGACCGCAGTAGGCTGTCTGGATGGAGTCACATCATTGACTACTGCTCACCGCCCAGGTGATTCTGTTACAGTTATTGATCACGGCTCATGCATGCCATCATTCACGCTCCTCGCCGTACCCAGTGAGAGCTGAGGTTTTACTGCACTTCATTAAATTCCACAATGCGTTTTAACAACCTGGAGCCCTGACCTTTGTGGCTTCCTGCAGAGAAAGGTCTGGCTTTTCCCTTTCAGGTGGAGGTAGGCGGGTCAGCCTCCCTTCTGCAGGCTCAGAGAAGGAGCGGGAGCGGGTAAGGCATCTGGAATGCATCAAAGGCAAGCCAAGCCCGAGTACTGCTTCTAACTCCTCCAAGAGCACAACCGCCGTGTTCACAAAAGCGTCTTCAATTGGAGCTGATTTTCCTCCCTCCTCTTTCTGCTTCCCTTTCAGACCCCTCGGCTGCAGCTGTCCGCCCGGAACGCCTCTCATTTGAAGGAAGCCATCCCTGAGAGCGTGGCTGCTGGTTTTTTCAGTATAGCGCTCGGGATCCCGTTCAGTGTGCTCAAAGGGTTTTTGTTGTCGTGGCTACTGCGGCTTTCTATTTATTTATTTTCTTTCTTTGAGCCGGGCCTGGCCCTGCTGCTTGTGGGCAAGATGGCCCAGTCTAAGACCAACGGCTCGCACTATGCACTGACCGCCATCGGCCTGGGGATGCTGGTCCTCGGCATCATCATGGCCATGTGGAACCTGGTACCTGGGTTCAGTGCCGCCGAGAAGCCGACAGCTCAGGGGAACAAGACGGAGATAGGCAGCGGCATTCTGAAGAGCAAGACCTTCTCCGTAGCCTACGTGCTGGTTGGGGCCGGGGTGATGCTGCTGCTGCTCTCCATCTGCCTAAACGTCCGCGACCAGAGGAAGCGGCGGCAAGGCGAGGAGATGGCGCACATCCAGCACCCGCCAGGGGCCGAGCCGCAAGCCCAGGAGGAAGACAGGTGAGGACTGGCCGACACGCCACACACCGGGGCCTGGACACACGTGCACACACTCACAGGGTCCAGTGAGGAAAATATTGTGATCTAGAAAGCTTTCCTTCCCACTCTCTCCTCTTAAGGCTCTGTAAATCGGTTCATCATTTTATAAATAACTTTATACTCCTATCCCAGAGTTTCCCAGATCATATGGTATGAATGGATTAAGGCTATACAGATTTCGACATCCCCCAGGGAAGCGGCCAGACCGGCTGCTTGTCCTAGCATGCTGTGTGTATCCGCTTTGAGTAGAAAAGGTTGGAAAGCAGTGTTCTATTTGCCACAAATTTAAAAGATAAATGATATATTGGGACACACATGGTAAAGTTTGACATCCCTGTCATAGAAGGAGCCCTCGCAAACGAATATGAAAGATGAACGCTCCAGTAGGAAAATGGACAGAGGAGACAAGCAAGCATTTCCTAGACATCCAGACAATTGATGTTCAGCCTCATTAGTCACAAAACGCAAGCACACAGAAGTCGTCATTATTCTTTGCCTCTTGTGTTGGCCAAGATAGATAGAGCCTGGCGTTGGGGTTGTGAG